TTGGTTTTACCAAGATTCGTTCGGCAGAATAATTATGAAATTCCCAATCGATTTAGGAATAGCTTTTCAGCCCTGAAATTACGATGTGGTTTATCGAAAATTGTTGGCGAGATGATGCTGAGTAGTGCATTGTACAGCTCCGATGTCAGTGCATAAGCCACCCGATGCACAGTCTGGCGTGCGCTACTTTACTGTGATGAAACGGTTACAGTTACAAAACTGTTTAATTTGAATTTATCAGGTTACTACCGCACTTGGTGTTATGTTGGCGCTCGCGCTCGCAGCTGCATACTGGTAGTTTATAAAAACGTTTCGGGGAGTGTAAGAGGATTTAGGTATCTCCCTGGGCCGCGTCCGATTTATTGCGATGATAATACGAAGGAGGATTGTGAAACATGTCCTCCTAACGCCGAGTGTCGCGGTCGTAGTATGGTGTGCAAGCCTTTGTTCAAGCGCGATGGAGATGTGTGTGTGAGAGATGAACGATTGTAGTAATGGGCGTTTTAAGAGGGGTAATTTATTCCGAAAATGTGATTTGAGGAATTAGCGATGTTTTGAGCGTTTATGTAGTGTTGAAATATAAAACGATGGGAGATGATGAAGAATTGTGGTAATCAGTATGAGAAAATATGGTCAGGTTATAAGAATTCGGTTTTTTGGTTTTTGTACATTTTTATTTCGAGGCTCCTGAGCTCAGTTGTTGAAAAAACCAGTTGAAGTTTCGGCTCGAAATTCGCATTCGTTGACGAGAAACGCAGACTTTCAGAATTTTCCTAGAAAATACGCTGCTTATATTTCTCCATTACTGGTGATGGTGCTGGAGGAATATATGCTCGCTTTCCGCAGCTGAGGTAGAAGTGTGCAGAAAAGAAGGAGAATTTTCCCAAAATTTTTCCCCATTTTCTCGTATTGTTATCAACACACGTAGTTTACTATGTGCATACTTTCCCACACTTTATGGAGGAGTAATCGTTGATATAAAATTTGTTGAAATTGTGGTATAGGTAGATGGCAGCCTCGCAGAAAACGAGGAGAATTTTCCCAAAATTTTTTTTATTTTTTCATACTGTTATCAACTCGCACGCGGACACATTGATCATGTGCGTTATCTCCTACTGTTCTGAAGGCGAAATTGTTGATATAAATATTTGTGATCGAAATTGTGGTAAAGGTATATGGCGTCACATCACATGGCAGCCTCTCTAGCTGAGCACCTAGCGGAGCGTCGGGGGGATTATGAATGTTATAAAACTCGTTATCAACTTGACCAGGACGAGGCTAAAAGGTAGTGCGAGGATGGTTACGGTTTGGGTAGTGGATGATCGTATTTTCGGGAAATTTTGGTAATTTTTTGGTAATTTACCGACTTTTTTTTGGGAAAAAATGCCCATTTTTAACATTTTCCACAGACTGATTTTAAAGAGTCACGTAGCGTTGTCGTATATTTAAAATTAATGTTGTTGGTTGAGATCGGTATGTTTTAGTGAAGACTGGTTACTTGTTTGAAATTTTGGGTGATTCATTAGAATTAGTCGGGCGAAAAAAGAGGATTTTTTTCTTCTAACTATGCACTTTTTTAGGTTTCTTTCTGACTGATTTTAATGCTTTACGAGTCGTTATCGCGTAGTTGAAGTGCTGAAATCGCGAACGATAATAATATGAATTTTCCTGAAATTTTCCGAAATTTTCTGATATTTTCCTGAAATTTCCCGATATTTTCCGATATTTTCCTGAAGTTTTTGAAATTTTCCTGAAATTTTCCGAAATTTTCCGACACTGCTTTATGTGTTTTAGATATCTCCGTGTAAAATGTTGGGAGGCGAGAAGACTTGGGAATAAGGACTTCGAAGCGGCATTTAAATTGATGCGTAATAGGGGCTGTTGATATATGCGTGGGTAATCTCGGAACTGTATTACTTCACACGTACTGTATAGGATTATATACAAATTCGTATAGAAGTGAAAAGAAATGTGAGAAGAATTCCGCGAAATTTTTTGATAATTTTTGTATTGTCTTCAACACATGTAGTTGAGCATCAATATAATATGAATTATAATATAACGTTGGAGTTCCAGTGGCGTAAAACTCGGTGAAAAACGCGATATTCGCGGTGATATGCGGTAGTCGTGAAATATGTTTTTTTTCATATCACTAGGGTGAAGCTCCATTGAAATTCAATTTAATTTTATATATGTCATATTGGAGTTTCGTTTGTTTTACGTGAAGTGGCGTAATACTCTACGTGAAAAACGCGAAAACACTCGGCGAATTCTACCGGGTGAATTATCTCTTTTCGCAAAGTGAAATATGAAATATGTTATTCACTTGTGTTTTTCATATCACTAGGGTGAAGCTCCGATGGATATTTTACGCATCGGAAAAACTCGATAGTATTTTGTAAGAAAATACGCACATGGTCATTTCCGTGATGATGACGATATGAAATTTTGGGTTTTTCTTTTCTGCGACTCGTTTGTAAACTCCTCAGCTCAGCTGAGCTGGAAATTGAAATTTTTTTTGTTGATTGTTGGTTAGTATCGGAGTCGTTACCCTCTGAGTTTGGCAATCAAGTTGTTCACACTGCTGGGGGCACTTTCTGGTCGTTGAAGTCGTCGAAGAGAATTCATTGTCAAATCGTGGAAGCGATGGAAATGTGGTGGCGACCCGTAACGATGATTTTAATTATCGTGTTGTTGGCTGCATGGAGACTGAGGAGGTAAGCTGAAATGGTGGTTTTTTTTCGGAAAATTTTCGAGAAAAAATTAAATCATTTTTGAGATATTTTTAAAGTAGGAGAAGTAGGATTGTTATGGTAAGTGAATTGGTGAGAAGTTGTTCTCTCACCACATGAGGGAAATCGTCATAATTTTCTTCACTGTCCGAAGGGGTGACGAAATGATGGGGTTTTCATAGAGTGGCGTCTTAGTTTTGAAGTAAGGTTGAAGTTGTTTTGGTATGTAAAGTAGTGGGAAATTTAATACAGTGGAGTTTCACTCGTTTTACGTGAAGTGGCGCAAAACTCGGTGAAAAACGCGATATCGCGGTGATATGCAGTAGTCGTGAAGTATATTTTTCACTGATGTTTTTCATATCGCTAGGGTGAAACTCCAGTAGAATGTTGATTACACATGAAAATGGTTAAGTTTTGGGAAATTGTCGATAATAGTGAGAGAATTTTTGAATTCAGCCGAGATAAGAATACTGGTCTCCAAACCAGAATTTTTTCGAGAAGGCGTTTATAATTTGAATATTTTAGAACGTCGTGAAGTGATTGTATATTGGCCTAGTGCGTTTGTAATAGTTTCTTGACAACCTCTTTGTATGAGCATTTTTATCGCTACAATACACATCATAAAAGTAGAGTTTCTTGACTCTAGTGATATGGAAAACACTAGTGAGAAATATATTTCACGACTACTGTGTAGCGTGAAAATCCCGTTTTTCACGGAGTTTTACGCCGCTTCACGTAACACGTGGTGTGAAACTCCAGTGCAGGTGGTCGAACAGGAGATGGGCCCGCAAGTCAGCTCTCGAAGCGGTGACGGCGTGTACTCGTCTTGGCAGTGATGGGAGTATTAGAGGCATCCGAGTTCGCGACTTAGCCGTTGAAGTCTTGCATTGGCCTGAGGGGAAAGTACGTACGTATATGGACGAGCTCGCTAAGGAGGAGGCGGACGTGCAGTCTTCGGGAGATGGGGAGTATTGGTCGGATGCTGCGGTGAAGCGACTGGTGGCAACGAGTAAGGAGGGAGGGAGAGGCTATCGCATGTTTTGAATTGATGATTATAGTAGTAGTTGTAATGCATTAATGATATTAATGGATTTCTAACGTAGCTGGGGAGAGGCTGAAATGTTGAGTTTGGTTGTTTTGGGAGTATTAATAACGAGTAGACAAGTTTACGGTTGTGAAACTAAAATTGAGCATAGCAACGTCAATGAATATAGGGAAAAACAGCATCGATTGTGGAGCACGCACGAACAAGGCAGAACTAGTGTTGGTGGAAGCGGGCGAATTGGACGGCTTCATATGACAAAAAACGCAAGGGTGGCCTAAGTAGGACTGATAGTGCCTCAATACAATGACAATGAATGTATCGTACGCAAGTACATAGCTACTCGGAAAGGCTCGCCCTTCATTTTCCCATGAGAACCCTCATCACATCTTGCTCGTCAATCCTCAATAGAGTCTTATTTGTGATATGAAGAACTAACTCGGAATTTTGGGGTTGATGAAAGATTTTTCCCAATTTTCCGATAATTTATCAATTTTTTTCCGAGAAAAAGTTGAGTTTGATAATGTTGAGATTACGGGAGTCTCATCTGTGATATGAAATCCTCATCCTCATCTCATCTGTGCCATCAAAGTGATGCAGTGATCCACACTAGTACGTCCTGAGACTGGGATATCAGTATACATATTTTAATCCATAGCTATTGAATATAATTATATAATACATTCTAATGGAGTTTCACCCCTAATGTCAAAAACACTAGTGGAAAACACATTTCACTTCTCGTAAAACGCGTAAAACTCCAATGTAAACATGGTATAACGATATAACCTAATATTTAGTTTCTTATTATTCCCTTATTAGTATATAGTTATTAATATTTTTGATGATATATAAAATACATATAATTAGCTTACCAATAGACTACTACTGGTACGGTTACTTCATGGTACAGCAGTATGTGCCTTATGCACATTCTGCCGTAGTATGCGGTATGAGAGGGACAGTGTATTTGTTGAGAAATATTGCTCGTTACACAATAGTGGTCACGTATATACGACATGTATGTTCTTACCTCTAACCTCACTGTGGCAGAGCATCACTCGCTCTATTCTGAAATGAAATATAGTTGAGGCACACCAACAACCCTTCCCGATGCTTGTCAAAGCTTGGCGTTATTAGTGTATATAACGACATGAGACGTCATCACAGAAAACTTCGGTTGCATCATAACAGAACACCTATTTCTGGTATGGAAAGTGATAAGTAATTATCCTGTGTGGTTGTACATTACAATCAAGAACTCGTAAATGATGATTGATACTGAAATTCTTTTGTTTAAGTTCAGAAAACTAGGCGGCGAAAATAGTCTGCGATATCGCCTACAGAATGATCGCAGAAAACTACAGCTCTACCTTTAACGAAAGTGAACGTCTTGACGACAAAGAAAAAAGAAGGGAAAACGACAATACAATGAAAGAACAGTAATTTTTTAATGGACATTAGGAAAAGAAGAATAACCAAAAAATTGGCGCTCACGAGCCGCCGAAGACGACGCCCTTCGCTGACGATGCCGTGAACGATGCGAATGACCTTTTTTAGGGACAAATTGAGCCGGTGGGAAATCCAATTCCTTACCACTCCCGAGCTCGAACAAACGTGGCTTAAATGCAGAGCAAGTGTTAGTGTTGACAGGACTGTTGCGTAATAGTCTTATTTGAGCGTCTAGACCTTGAGCATGGGCACTTACAACAACCATATGTTTATCATCACTGATTTGTACACCATTGAATTGATCATAGAACTCCAAGGCATCACTGGGAGTACCAAAATCAACGAAAGCATAACCAATGCTCGTCCTAGTGCGGAAAGTCAAAGGGACGTAGTAGAAGTTGTACCGACCACGAAAGCCTCGTAGAAGATCACTGAGCGTGTCTACAGTGAAACTTGGTGGTAAATTTCGCAGAGTTACGGTAGTAGAACCCGGTAGTAGCCCTGAATCCTCTTCAACAGTGCTAGTTCCTTCAGTGGAGTAAGAGCTGCTGGTAGCCTCAGGAACAGGACTAAGAGCACATTCGTCATCGTTATAGGAAGAGAAATGTGCCGATGTAAGTATAGTTGGCGTATATGATGTTGTTGTTGTTAACCATTGAGGGGAGGAAACACTCCGTGGACGAGGACGATGTGGTGTGAAATCAAGGAAGGTGTTTTTCACAACGCACCGATCGGTTTGCAAAGAGGATGAGGAGACAGCTGTTGTCATGGGCATTATATAAGGGGAAAAATAAAATAAGTCGTAACGCTATAAGAAATGAGACTCCTCGGGATCTTTCGGGAACACAAAATGTCCCCTTAGTGTGAACATAACGGCACAAGATTTGCAATGGAACAACTTGACAAGAAGTGACTCTTGGTACGATTCAACTAAATTGATGTCAGTCCGTGTGCGGTTGGGGTTTGCTGCACCAAGCCATCGAAAGGGCCCCTCCATAGCAG